ACCCAAACTGCTCCTCACGCAGGAACCCACGCTCGCTTACCTCCCATGGGGCCCTAGCGGGTAGGATCTTCTCGAACAGCTTACCAGCAGTGTCAAGGAGACTGATGGGGCTATAGGAAGAGTTTCGCACCCAAGACACCAACCACTGCTGGCACCGTTACACAAAATCGCGAAGTCGAACTCACATTATTACCTTTTGTTGTTGTGTTGTTCTCCTTCTATTTTTGGGCACTTATCACATCCTATTTTACATTATTTCCTTATTTTTTATTAATTTAGGCCCCCCTTTCAAATTTTGGCAACCTGGACGACTTCCTAGTTTGCTTAGCGATTAAACTGTGCGTAGGGGACGATGAATTCTGAACACCCTGTGGATCACCCTCCTAAAAGTGCGAATCTTCCTCCAAATTTGGGGGGGGGGGGGGGGCACAGCACTTAAGCCCACCCATTGCGCCCACAACGGCTTCTTAATTATCTGTGTGACTCATGTGGGCAGGGCTACCAACTAAAGCCCGCGTAGAAAAATTATGCTCTACGTTGATCTGATATTAATATACGAATTAAAATTAGAAAGTGGGAGATGGATGAGGTACGGGATTCGGTTTCATTGGCATTTGACTGTGTATCGACTCCATTTTCTAGATATCTGGAGACACCCACCTCCTTGCATCCTGGCTGACCCGTACACTTGGCCCACGTTCATATCAAAAGCACTAAGCTTACGCTCAATTAAAGCGTCTGTTTCGAGACAGACACGGACGTCACTCTTTATCAGATTGCATTTATAAATTTTGGTACAAATATTATCATTTCAAAAAATTGTAATATTTTAAGAACACGAGAGGTTCGATACGAACCAAATGAATTCGGCATTACAAAACATTGGTGGGACAACACACGCTGCTTGACTTCCCGATAATTGTGGCTTTTGTAAGAACGAATACAACGGCCCGGAAACAATAGCTTCAGAATGTGGGATCGGAGACGGAATGACAAAGAGCGATAGGCGTGACAAAAGGCTTGCAACCCACAGCTGGCAATTCGACGCTGTGCGGTTCGCTTACCTAAAATGAAGTCCCACGCCTTGTGACGAGGTTGAAAATAGCACAGGTTATGAGTGTGGACTTCTAGTGTCTGATTGTGAGTGTGACGATAAATGTCAGGTAGTCTACTCGCTCATTCCCTTTGAACTGTTTTCTAAGAACATTACCTACAGAGACTCAAAATATTCAGATTTCCATACCTCATAACCTCATTCTACGACTTGGATCGTTCCAATGTAACCGTGTCCCCCCGCTCGACCCACAAGATGAAAGACCTTGTCGGCTATCCGCGAGTGTTTGTTTACACAACAAGCCCCATTCAAAGCTACTCTCCAAATCTGGAGATCGTCTGTACCCGGAACCTGATGACGCGACATGTCTTGCTGACCAGGGACCCACATTGCACCGAATGTACACGAGCGACAAAACCCACGATAATAACAAACAAGACGAGGAAGGAGCAGTTATCTGGCAACCCACGTGTTTCCGAACGGAGAACGAAACTGAAGCTGATCGATTCTGGAGCCCAGCCAGCCTACCATGTGGTGGATATCTGGAGTAAAAGCGGCTTTAGCTTGAAACTAATCACTCGGTGCCATCTTCAGCACGAATTCGTATTTCGTGGGTCTCTATTTATTGTTATCTCCGGCAGCAGACCATGTTCCTCGGTTTCTGCAGGTGAATCTTGGATAATACTTCCAAATAAAATACTAAAACTTCCTTCCCCAATTACTTTCTTATTCATAACCATCACATTTCTCACGCTACATAACCAACGCAATCGAGAAAGTGTTGTCAAACCAAGAAAGAAACGAACTGCACCATCTAGGAACTACATTAAAAAATGCATAGAACTTTACCTAAACGCCCTCCAGGGAAAACCACAGCACTCCAATGAACGTTGCAAGATCAGAAACTAAGAACTGCGATGTCATAAACATTTGCTTCGAATGAGGTATTTTACAATATAACCGTTATAAATTCACTTACAAAACTCATTCATTATACGTTGCCAAGTACATCTCGTCACTGTACTAAAGATAATTCTGTTCTGTTTACAGTTCAACATTACAACAAGAACTTAATATCGTGTTTGATTCACTTTTCACGAAAACACTTTTCGTTAACTTTTCAGATACGAATAAAATTTAATTAACCTGTAAATGAAATTAGTTGTTAGAAATATTAATACAAATTATGGTAAATTTATGAAAACCTGTTTTACTCACAGCTCCAACAGGCACTGAATGCGTCAGTCATTCCTTAGTTGGATTGCCACAAACCACACATCTTGACTTTCATTCATACCTTTTGTCAAAGAAGCAAACTTCGTTCTGCCAGCGAAGCGGGAATACAGTTGTCAAACTGCGTCACAGAACTATCTCACTTCTCACTTCAACTCCAACATTCTGCCAGTTACCTTCAGTAGCAAGGTTTAAACACGTACAAAGTTCCACAGTCAAAGCCACGGTACATAGTTCCATATTATCTCTCGTGGCGTCGCCACCATTGTAACACCAGTGCTGCACTATGGTAAGTAAATAGAGAACTACTACGTCTCAGTGACATCCTCGGTGGACCGATACAATAGTGGACTAGATTGCCTTCGTATTTCTTTTCCAGAACTGATTTATAATATTGTCGGCTGTTTTCTTAAAAAAATAAACAAATTTTAGTTTTTGTACACACTATGCGCTTTGCGTACAAAACTAATTTTGTAATCTATGCAATCGAGAGATTCAGATTTGTGAATTCAGTGCAGTAGAGGTTATTTTAAATGCCATAAGAACAGGAGAAACTTTCCATGGCCGTTGAAAACACCCCATGTACTGTACGGAGTTAAGAATGTCCCTGAGATGTAGGCTGTGGTAGGCACTGATGTTTTGCGCATGCGTAACCCTCCTATTCCTGAGTGGAAAACACTGGTATTTATTACAAAGCTGTTTGTTGCTTTCAGCAGCAACGTTATTAATTTTTTTATTATTAACGACTAACTATATCTTCAAGTGTTTTAAATTATTACCAATAACATTTACATCAAATTAAAATAAGAACGACGTTTTTCTTTCTCCTACTAGCGCAGCACGCGACTTCCAAGGCCACACATGTCCACGCCTGGTTCTAACAGTGATTTCTTACTTAACC